GTATTATTCATTCTCATTTCTTCGAAGAAATGATTATGATCGACGAACTACCAATAATTGCAGCTATGAAGAAAATAATACGGCAAGGGATCGAGCAATAAATAAGTATAATAAATAAATATAATAAGTAAACTTAAGTACTTAATATACACTTAGTATACTGAAATATACTTAATATATAATACTTAGTATACTTAAATATACTTGATACACTTAGTATACTGAAATATACTTAATATATAATATACTTAGTATACTTAAATATACTTGATACACTTAGTATACTGAAATATACTTAATATATAATATACTTAGTATACTTAAATATACTTGATACACTTAGTATACTGAAATATACTTAATATATAATATACTTAGTATACTTAAATATACTTGNTACACTTAGTGTACTTAAATATACTTAATATACTTAGTATACTTAAATATACTTAATATGTAATACTTAGTATACTTAAATATACTTAATATATAATACTTAGTATACTTAAATATACTTAATATACTTAGTATACTTAAGTATACTTAAATATACTTAAGTATGCTTATAAGTATACTTAAATATACTTAAGTATGCTTATAAGTATACTTAAATATACTTAAGTATGCTTATAAGTATACTTAAATATACTTAAGTATGCTTATAAGTATAATAAGTATAAATAAATAAGTATAATAAATAAGTAATTCTCTCCAATTGTCTCTCAGCTTGCAAACAAAAAATGACAATTTGGGAAGAGGAGATACGATTATTCGAGCCTCGCGGTTCCTTTTTACGATTGTTGACAATCGGCAACTATAGAAACGAGCTACAAGGCTCGAATAATGGTATCTCTTCTTCCCAAATTGTCCATTTTCGTTTACAAGCTGAGGGACAATTGGAGAGAATTTACTGTACCATGCCGGGCGGATCTGTCAGACAATTATCTTCGCTAACAATGTCGTCCGGGATCAAACAAGTCGAAACAACCTCCGTGCGAGCACAAAATAAAAACAGAGGGCCAGTCGATGATCGCATAAAAAGTTTCTGCCGCAGGATAACGCGGCAATAACGAGGTCACCGATATCTAGTCGATCTCGTGGGCCGTCGAAGAAAGAGAAAAGAAAAACGTTGCTCTCCCGGAGTTTCGTGGGATGCCAGGGGAATGCGGGTAGTTTATTAGGGGTGCCGGCAGAGCCGGAGTCGCGAAAAAATTGCTCGTAAATTTCATGGACCCTTATCAGGGCCGTGACGCGATTAATATCGGACAGGCCGACGGTCAGTGGCGCGGCTAGGTAGCAATGATCGTGAAAAAGTAACGAAGGAGATAGGAGGGATATCCGTCAGCGTGACGGAATGACACGTTACAGGATGAGGGGAGCGAGCTGAGCGAGGCGACCTCGGAGGGGAGCTCGGTAAGCAGCACCTTCTGCGCCCTGGAGAAGGATTACGAGAAGGTGAGGGGTGTTGCCGCCGACACGGGGAAATGTTTTTCATTATGGTGAACGAAATCCCTGATACATCTTCCACGATGCCATTTCCGTATCGAGATTCCAAGTAATCGGGAGGCTTTCAAGCTCTTAACCAGAGGGAACATTATTAGATCGTCATTTGTATTCTACCTTCGCTGTTCCATTTCCTTATTTATCGATCTTATGATCTCCGAGGGTTTCATCTCAGGACTGGACAATGGATCTTTATAGGCATTGATTCAATTCGTACCATTCCATCGATCGATCACTTAATTTCTTCATCTGTTAAGCTTTTGTACTCGAAGCCACTTTAACCCTAATTCCAAAATAGTTTTTCTGATTTAGGGTAGTAGAAACGGTTACTGTGGGGGGTGACCAATTGTTGTGTCCTTGGTTTGCTTTTTGGCATAATTAACTTTATATTTATCGAATAAACGTATCAAATTTTTATATTCTTTTATTTGGTTATTTCTGCTAATCTTTTTCTGCTAGTCTTACTTTTGTTAATCTTTGTACAAAAATGTTGTTGGATTGGAAATTAATTGGGATGATAGAAATATTTAAAAATGTCGTTTTTTTAACATTTTTATCCGACAACTCGTATACGTGCTGAAAATTTCACGGAAATCGATTTCAATATACTTCTTACTTCTTATATATATATTATTCTTATTATTATTCTTATCTATCTATCTATCTATATTCTTATCTTTATTATTATTCTTACCTGTCTATCTATCTATCTATATATATATATATATATTCTTATCTTTATTATTATTCTTATTATTATTCTTACTTCTTATATATACTTATTGCTTCATACTTGCAGTTTAATTAGTAGTCTTATTAAAACACTTACGCTATCTTTTCTCCGATATTTTCGATTTTGTTTATGGATTTCTACTGCTATATCTTCATGATAAAGCGATAGTTTGCTAATGTCCTGTTATCCAGTTCGCCGGAGTTCGAGAACTGCATTTATTAATTACCGATATCGAGAAATCGGTAAATATCGATCAATGGTAGTTCATTATTAAATTTTTTAGGTCTTGAGAGATATGAAAAGCATCGACGCATTGGCCCCGTATTTGAACGAGTACACCAGACTCTTCGAGTCTCTGTACAAAGCGCATCGAGTGGAAAAGGAGCTATTGGAAAAATGCACCCAATTGGAGGTACAATTAATGCACGTTTTAATTAATTTATATCTTGCTGGTTCGAAGCTTCCACACGAAAGGTAGAACAATGCAAGTAAATCAACGTGTTTAATCGATTTCGATTTTCTTCGACGCGCATCGCAGAGTTATCTTTTTTTTAACGTGTCCTAAAAGTTTCTCGTAATACGTTATTTCAATGGAATTAAAATATTGCACGATATCGGAATCGATTCGCGCAATCGGTAAAATAACATCAAAGTTTCTCTCCAATTTGAATCCATATTTTCGAAGATAATACTACTAAATTAAAATCGTTGTAATAATATTCGAATGAAAATAATCTCCTGGAAGTTCGACTTCCTTTGCGATCGGTCTTAGTAATAATTAAGATAATCCGGTTTTACGTAAACTGAAACGGAAGATAATTTTCGCACTTGTAGTGATTTCTATAAAAAAAAAAAAACGTTGACAACTGTTTGTAGACGTGCTGTGATTTCAGACCGAGGTCCAGGAGTCCAAGGCCCTTGCGGAGGGCTACACGGAAACGATTGCGAACAACAACGAGGAGATCGAGAAGCTGAAACTGGAAGTGGTGAACACGATAAAGCGCGCCGATGCCGCTCACACGCGCGAGCTGAACGCGCAGGAGATGATAGAGAACTTGCGGCTGAATGTCGCGCAACTGAATCAGGAAATCGAGCTAAAGAACAGACAGATCTCCTCCATCGAAGAGTGAGTTTTCTTGTGAATTTACAAAGGTCTCCCAAAAATCACTCGCGATCGGGAAATGAGGGATTCCTCGGGTTATTCGAAGAAACCTTTTCCTTAGCGAAAATGCAATCCGCGACTTTGTTTACGCGTTATTAACGAAAAACAGTGAACAATAAGAGACAGGATCGGTTAGCGCGAGGAGGTCGAGCCAATGATTGTAACTGGGCTTCGTCCACTCATTGGTGTCCTACAGATATAGCCACGTAGGCTCGTTTTTCGACTATAATTAATTTTATAATTATAATCATTATTTATATATATTTATATATATATATATATATATATATATATAAATTATTATATATTAATATATTTTAATAACTATATATAATATATTGAAATATATTAAATAATAATAATAATAAATATATAAATATATAAAATATGTAATATTTATGTATATAATATATTGATTATAATTATAATAAGACATATTAAATTGTCTTATCCATTTATTTCGTTTATTTTCAACTAAAAAAAAATAATGCCCTATTCGATAAATATAACGTTAATTATGCCGGGGAACGAATCAAAAGCACAGCAAATGGTCACCTCACGGAAACCGGATTCACTGGCCTAGTTAATTATTTCTTTCACAACCGGTGAATAGTCGTTTTCAAGATTCCAGTGTCAGAGAGAACCACACGGTTCGGTTCTTTATCGCGTTAATCAAACACGAGGCAACGAATAGGTGAGATATTTACGGATTACACAGAGACCCAGACGCCTTTAGCGAACCCGTCGGATCAAACGTTTCAAGGATCCTGTTAGAAATCCTTCAAAGCCACAATTCCCTGTCGCCTAGACGAAGCCCGATGTGACCGCGGCGTGTTTTCGAGCTGTTCGCGGATTTAATTTCCATCAAAAGCGTTCGGGGGGTCTTCGGATTAACTCGATTCTATGTTATCGGCGGTTTGCCGTTCGCCGAACGTGTGCATGCATGCATGTTTGCCGGATATGCAAATCAAAGTCTATCGGCGGCGGATAATATGCGGGTCGTTTTTACAAACCCCTGTTTCGGTATTTGACACCGACGCTGAGTTACCGTCATGGAATTCGAAAGGAAACGAGTTTTATCGTCGTGTCGATTCTTTTCGAACGTTTTCAAAAAATCGTTGAGAACCACAACAAAAGACTAGTGGCTAATATCTGTCTTTATTTAATTTATCTTTGTATTTATTCGGTACATATTCGTTCGTGTTTTGCAACTACTTTTTTTCGTCGATCAGGTATTGCTTTACAAAACATCGAAGTGACGAGAGAGGAAGATCAACCCTTCCAGTGCAGACTAAAATGAGAGTGTAGAATAAGAAATATCTATTTTTCATATTATTTGTATGGCTATTATACGAATGTTGTACAGATTACAATTAATTATATTTTCATTATATTCGTGTTATAAATTATACGAAGATCACGGCAGATCGGATTTTTCATAAATATTACAAATAATAAACAATGTTAAATAGGTATCAAAACCTTGTCAAAAGGTGCTGTTATATTTTTCTTTCGACATTTTTATTTTTTCAATAGTAGAAAAATTAATTAACCGCAAGGGCTACTAATTCATTTGTGTATACCTGATGGACTCAATCCCAACTTCGAAGTTTTGCATTGATACATATTAATACAGCCTACTGAATCACGATTTACATAAAGTATTAATAAACTGCGGGTTCCATGCATTAATGACAAAAATTACTAGATCAAATATAAAACTAAAAAATATTGAAAGAATTTCAGAATATTTTTACATTATGTACAATTTATTGGAACGACTAAAAGAGAAAAAGTATTTCCACCAAGATTTCGCGTTTCTTACAATTAACTCGGATAACTTTTATTTTGCATCCAGACTGGCAATCTCGTTATTAACCCTTCCGCTGGTTATATTATAATATATTTATTATAGTAAAACATTTACTATATATTAATAATATATTTATTAATATATTTATAATTATATTATATATATATATATATAATAATGTTCTTATAATATAATATTATACATAATTATATATATTATATTTAATATATTATAAATAATATTAAATTAATATAACAATTAATAATAATAATATAATAAGTAAATAATTATAAATAATATATTAAATATAATATATATATAATTATGTATAATATTATATTATTATATTATTATAATAATAAGATATTATATATATATATAATCTATTATTATATTATAATATAACTTCCACTGAACGGAGCGCTGCGACATCACTGCACGCTACGCGACGCCGATCGTCAGCAGGAGTCGGTACTCCGCGGCGGTCGGCGGAGAACCCAAGGGTATTTATAAGGGTATGTATAAATAAAGGGTATTCCAGGGTATTTAAAACGTTTTAGCATGCGCTTTTTAATTTACAGTATGAGATGAAATAACATTATGCAATATAATGCATCTTATGGAAAGTCACTATAGTGGTCCGAAAGGGTTAACAAGCTGTTACATAATTATACAGCCACGGGTATCTAAGGACAAATTGCAAAAGCGATCGTTGGTTGCCATATGCACTGGGCCGGAAGCGTGAGCGAGTGCGATGGCAGGTTCGTGAAGAATATCTCGTCGTGCTCTAAATCGTGTCAGTCTGTACACGACGTTTTCCGTTATCAGGGTAAACGGCGTCGTCATCGGGACGCCATTCGTGTGTATACATCGTGATCGCATTGAGGCTACAAGGATGTCGAGTCTAATCCCTGGAGGAGAGAAGCGTGCCCGATAGACCGGCGTTCTCTGTTCAGTCAACACGATCGGCTCGCAATTCCGTTCTAACATGATCGTAGCTTGTGGCATAGTAGCTCATAAAGATGTTGTGCTTCGTTTCCCTCGGTGTTGCTGCTACAGAGGACTGCCGAGGAGCGAGTCCCTTCAACTTTCGTCCATCCTTCTCTGCAAAATACCTAAAATAAACCGCTGACGGACCACCAACAGCCTCCTTTGTAATCGCATTTAATACTATCATGTTTCACTCGTTTCACTCCCTGCAATCTCTGTTCTTTGCTTCGCTTCTGTTCTCGTCCGCTTCGCTTACATTTTTAAACGCTTGTTGCAATTACCGTACCGAGTACACAGAGAAATTGGTCGAAGAGCTTCGGTGTGTATTTAATGCAGATCGTCTCTTATTCGTTACTTTGACAAGTACCAAACTGCTGTATTTTTGTATTGGAAAAGTATTTGATAAATGTGAAGTTCGTATGAGATTTTAACCTCTTAGGCACGACGCGCCGCTATAGTGGCTCACTTTAGTAGCTCACTCGCTCACCGTTCGAATTAAATAATCGTCTTCATATGCGTTGTTTCACATTTATTTTGTCTTTACATCGATTTACAACAGTGTTAACACTATGCAAAGTAACACAAAGTAAAACACCTTCGCAAAGTATTGCCTGGCGACCGGCGACACCACAGTGGTGTCGCGGGTAAAGTATCGTTCGGCGGCCGGCAACACTGCAATGGTGTCGTGTGCACGGTATGGCCCAGTGGCAGACGACAACACTTTTGTATCCTTTGCATTCTCTTGATGATCTGTGGAGTTCTGTTGTTGCTTTTGTTCCGTACCGTCTCGGTACAGTACAGGGTGTCCCAAAAATGTCTCGCAATCCGAAAGTGGCGGGTTCTTTAGGTCATTTGAAGCAACTTCTTCCTTTACAAAAATTGTCTCCGAAGCACCGTTAACGAGTTATTAACGCCAATGAAAGGCGAGCTCAGCTGGCGCTAGGCGGCCAAGCCAACAGCGCCAGCGGTCGATTGGCTCGGTCGCCTCGCGCCAGCTGAGCTCGCCTCACATTGGTCACTGTTTTTCGTTAATAACTCGTTAACGGTGCCTCGGAGAACATTTTTGTAAAGGAAGAAGTTGCTTCAAATGATCCGAGGAACCCACCATTTCCGGATTGCGAGACATTTTTGAGACACCCTGTATTTTTAGCATAAAGCTGTACAGCTTTACGTGGAATAAGTTACATACGTCAGCAAGTGTTACAAATTTGATGTGCAAGTCGTGCGGAGTTGCATTACATCTTGGAGATTGTTTTGCTTCGTATCATTTAAAAGAGAAATACTAAGTAAGTACCAAAGAAAATGTAATTAAAGAAATATATAAAACAAAAAAATTTTACATTTATTTACATATGTACATTTTCGAATTTTCATAAAAATAGAGGAGGCGGATTGAAATCTCGTGAGAACTACCGATGAGATTAAAAAAACTTGAAATTTATCATCTCCCAATAACCTCAAAAACAGCCGGCGACAAACGAAGTAACAGAGTTAGTGGTGCCAGCGCCAAGCGAAGAAATGTTTAAAAACAATGCGGCCGGCAAAGTGTTAACGATATACAGATGGTTATATTTACAGTATCAGACTCAGTACTACACAGTACATATCAGACTCTGCCGTCCAGGAAAATAGCCTCGCGCAGAATTCAGCCGTACCTAAAAGGTTAA